ACGATGATGATGATGATGATGATGATGATGATGATGATGATGATGATGATGATGATGATGATGATGATGATGATGATGATGATGATGATGATGATGATGATGATGATGATGATGATGATGATGATGATGATGGATGGAGGGAGGAGGGGGAGGAGAGAGGAGGAGGAGGAGGTGGGACGCGGGGCGCTGTCTCTTCAAAACGAGGACCCAACACCACAGGATGGTTGGGAAAAAAACAGCGACCGGAAACGACAAAAAAACGGCTCCAGGATTGGAACGGGAGCCGGAACCGGTCGCAAAACGGCGACGGAACCGGTAAAAAAACGGCGTCGGAACCGGCAAACAACGGCAAAATTGAACCGGTTCAAAACGGCCCTGTCTTTTCCACGGCCCACTAAGCTCTGGGGGCAACATCGGTGTATGCCCCAAATCCCATCAGGACGCGACTTTGCGCATACACCGGAAAGTGCATGCACCAATCGCGCCAAAATTGGTGTATGTACCTCGCCCAGGAAACAACGAGTGTCCGTATACACCGAAAGTAACGTATACACCAACCACCTGGGCTGGGTTCCGCCGCCAGGGACGAGAACGTTTGGGGTCCGCGGAATCTGGCTCATTCCTGGTGGGCGAGCCACAGTGAGTTTGCACATGTGCATTCGCGCGTGGATTCTCGAGGCGCGGGGGGGAGACGATGAGGGTGTCAAGTTCTATTGAAACAGGATGGGTGCATTTGTGTAGTTGTTGTCCCCCCAGTTTAGGCCAGCCGTGGTGCGCCCGTTAGGTCTTCAGCAACCTTCCGGCTGATGCCTGGCCGACCGCCTCGGGCCCCTTCCCTGCCATCCCCGAGTCGCCTGGCCACGCCCCCTCTTCTCCCCCCCCTGCCCACCCACGCTTGGGCCCGCGCAAAGGAGGAAGGGCGAGGCGGAAGGTCGCGACGGGGATGTAAACGATGACGTTGGCCGAGAGCAGGCCGTGCTCGACGCCGCCCCCCATGCCGCCGCGATGATGCGCGACCGCGAACAGCCCCGGGACACTGCAGCGGCTGGTGGTCACGATGTTGTCGTACCGACCTCAGTCGCGCGACCCGTCGTCGCGGCCGCGCCAGGGCGACTCCGCGGCCGTCAGCCTCCACGGCCCGACTACACAGCGCGCACGCAGTCCGACTCCGCAGCAGACCGACTACACAGTCAGACCCCCCGGCAGTCTGGCTCCACAGTGCGACCCCCAAAACGGGCCGACTCCACGGTCCGACCGCCCAGTCCGACTCCACAGCAGACGCCTTCGCCATTGTGTCGCCACGGACGGGTGCCGCTCGCAGGAGGGTGTCGACGGGGGTGTGAGCGACGACGTTGGCCTCGAGCAGGGCGTGCCCGACGCTGCCCCCCACGCCACCGCGAATGTGCACGGCCACGAGCAGCCCCGCGACACTGCAACGGCTGGTGGTCACGCTGTTGGCGCACCGACCTCAGTCGCGCGACCGGCCGTCGCGGCCACGCCAGGGCGACTCCACGGCTGTCCGACTACACAGCGCGCACGCAGTCGGACTCCACAGCAGACCGACTGATTTACCATCTCTGACGGCCCCGTCGCATCGGGCGCGTCGTTTCCTTGCCTCACCAGGGCGCTGCCCCCCCTGCGTGAACCGCGCCCGCAGCTGTAGTGGTGCTGTCGCCTGTCGCACTCTCCGCTGTTGTGGCCGCCCATGCTGCAGCCGCACCTTCACAGCGGGATCGCCGCTCCATGGCGCGCCCTCACTTTCGCTGGCGCCAACAAGTCTTCCACGCGTGTTTCACCGCCCATGGTTGGATGCTTTATCTCACGCCCGCATCGGGCCTACACCACGGCCGAACGCCCCACTTCTTGCCAATCCGATTGCCCGCGCGGCCGCTGCGGCGGTTGGGGGGCGCCCCGTCGTTCGCAAGCCGCTCAGCGGTCAATCCATTGTCCCCCGGCCGCCAACCGGGGCTTCGCCGACTTGGGCCCTGTTTCCCACGTGAGGCGCCACGAGACTTAGGGTATCGCCTGCTCAGCACCCCGTCACTTGCTTCAGTCGCTTTGCGCCAGGGTGTGGTTGTTTCAACTGTTCCGGTACTTTCAGGCGCGCACCACCGCCAAGAGTGCGATGGCGGCCTCGGCTACTGCTGCAGCCGGCTGTCGACGGGACACCCGTTTGCTTGTCCTATCTCTGTCTCTCTCTCTCTTTGTCTTTCTCTCTCGTTCTCTCTTTTCCTATATCTCTCCCTTCCTCTCTCTCTCTCTCGTTCTCTTCTCCCCACTCGATGTATTTCTTTCTGTTGTTTTGTTCCCAACCCTCCTGCATTGGGTTTTCGTTTTGGATTGGGCACTCCGGTCGCGCACCTTCTTTTCCCGCCTCCCAGTTCTTCTCGTCCGTCCTAATTGCCTGCTGCCCTGTCTCCTACCTCGTCGTCCTGCCTGGATGCTCGGTGGGGGCTGCGATTTGCGAAGCCGTCGCCAATTTCGAGGGCTGCTGGGGGGGTACAGCGGAGTGACGTCCTACGTGGAACGCCAGGAGACCTCACGATTCTTGGGGGGCTGTAATCAACGAAACTGTCGCAATTTCCGGGGTCTGCTAGGAGGCGCAACGGAGTGACGTCCTACGCGGATCACCAGGAGACCTCGGCATCCCTGGGGGCTGCGATTTGCGAATCTGTCGCCGCTTTCGAGGCTTGTTGGGTTGGCCAGCGGAGTGACGCCTTACGCGGATCAAGAAACCTCGCCATCGATGTGCGACATAATCGCCAGTTTCGAGGGCTGTTGGGGGAGCAGCGGAATGACGTCCTTCGCGGATCACCAGGAGACCTCGCCATCCCTGGGGGGTGCGATCAGCGAAACTGTCGGCACTTTCGAGGGCTGCTGGGGATTCCAGCGGTGTGACGCCTTACTCGGATCACCCCGAGACTTCGCCACCCGTGGGTGGATGCGATTTGCGAGACTGTCGCCACGCAGTGGAGTGCCGCCTTACGCGGACCACCAGGAGACCTTGGCATCCCCGAGGGGCTGCGATCTGCAAAAAGGTCGCCACGTTCTAGGGCTGCATGGGGGGTGCAGCGGTGTGACGCCTTACGCGGATCACCCGGAGATTTCGCCACCCTTGGGGGGGTGCGATCTTGGAAATTGTGGCCATTTTCGAAGGGGTGCTGGGGTGTGCAGCGGAATGACGTCTTACGAGTACCACCACCGGGCCTCGGCATCCTTAGGGGGGCTGCGATTTGCGAAAACTATCGTCACTTTCGAAGGCTGTCGGGGGGTGCAGCGGAGTGACGCCTTACGCGGATTACCAGGAGACCTCGCCACCCCTGGGGGGCTACGATCTGCGAGACTGTCGTCGCTGTCGAGGGCTGCTGGGGGGTGCAGCGGAGTGACGTCCGACGCGGATCACCAGGAGACCTCGGCATCCCTGGGGGGCTGCGATCTGCGAAAACGTCGCCACTTTCTAGGGCTGCAGGGGGGGCGCAGCGGAGCGACGTCGTTCATCGATCACCACGAGACATCGCCATGCCTGGGGGCCTGCGCTCTGCGAAACTGTCGCCACTCTCGTGGGCTGGCTGCTTGGGGGTGCAGAGAAATGACGTCTTACGCGGATCACCTGCAGACCTCACCACCATTGGGGGGCTGCGATCTGCGAAACTGTCGCCGCTTTCGAGAACCGCTGTGATGTCCAGCAGAGTGACGTCTTACAAGGACCACCGGGAGGCCTCGGCATCCCTGGGGGCTGTAATCACCGAAACTGTCGCCACTTTCGAGGGCTGCTGGGGGGTGCAGCGGAGTGACGTCTTACGCGGATCACCTGGAGACCTCGCCACCCCTGGGGGGCTGCGATCGTCGAAACTGTCGCCACTGTCGAGGGTTGTTGGGGGTCCAGCGGCGGACGCCGCAGACGGATTACCAGGAGACCTCGCCATCCTCCGAAACCTGTCGCAACTATCGAAGGCTGTCGGGGGGTGCAGCGGAGTGGCGTCCTACGCGGACCACCAGGAGACCTCGCCACCCCTGGGGGGCTGCGATCTGCCAAACTGTCGTCACTGTCGAGGGCTGCTGGGGGGTTCAGCGGAGTAACGTCTTATCCGAACCATCAGGAATCCTCGGCATCCCTGGGGGGCTGTAGTTAGCGAAAGCGCTGCAATTTTCGAGGGCTGCTTGGGTGTCCAGCGGAGTGACGTCCTACGCGGATCACCAGGAGACCTCGTCATCCTTGGGGTCAAGCGGGGTGACGTGTCTTTCTTTTACTTGGGGGTTGTTTCGATTTCCGGGGTCGTCAGGAAGGAATCCGAGAAGCTGGCGGGCGAGCTAGGCTCTGCTCGCTTCTTGCAATAACTACAACCAGCTTTGATTCCCAACCATCCTGTGCTGTTGGGCATTTGTTTTGTAGAGACGGTCCCCGCGTTCCTCTCCTCTCCTCTCCTCTCTTCTCCTCTCCTCTCCTCTCCTCTCCTCTCCTCTCCTCTCTTCTCCTTTCCTCTCCTCCTCCGCTCCCTCCCCCTCCTCCCTCCGCCCTCCGGCCTCCTCCCTCCCCTCCCTCCTCCCCTCTCCCGTCACCCCCCTCGCTTTGGCGCACCCCTCACACGGTTCGTGGCCCCATAGCGAGCTCCACCGAAGGCCCCGGTGGTTGCTTCGCATGCGTCCCCCTGCCCACTTCGGCACAACCCCCACACGATTCGTGGCCGCATGGGGAGCTCCACCGAAGGCCCCAGTGTCCGCGTCCGCATGTGTCCGGCCCGCCCTCCGCATGCCCAGTTCAGCACACTCCTCACACGGTTCGTGGCCCCATAGGGAGCTCCACCGAGGGCACCAGTGGCCGCGTCCGCATGCGCCCTCCCCGCCCACCGCATGCCTGGGCACCCCCCTTCACACGGTTCGTGGCCCCATAGGGAGCTCCACCGAAGGCCCCAGTGGTTGCGTCCGCATGCGACTTCCCTCCTTTCAGAAGTGGGCCAAGGACGCGCTGGTGTCAGGTTCATCACCTCTGGTCGCCATGACGAAGCTGAAAGGGGTGGGCGCATCAGGAGAACGACATGTTTGGCATCAAGACGTCGTTCCCCCAGGCCCTAGCTGATGCGCAGATGGAGTACTGGGATGGAATCTGGGATGGCACCTCGCCCATCTTTATGGCCACAGGGAGGGGGATCGTTGGTGCAGCACCTGCGAGCTTGACAGGGTCGAGTACCGCGTCGACAGGTGCACTCGCTGGTCCTGCGAAGGCTGTGGCCCCCAAGCGGGGCGCGTCGCCTGGGAGACTCGGGCGGGGGATCCCCTTCTCCGCCCTCGCAGGCCCAGGAAACGCCCTGCGGCAGGGTCGCGCTGGAGGAGCACAAGAGGTCGCCGCGTGCAGACGATGATCCACGTGTTCGTCGGGCACCTGGTCAGGATAGGGCAAGAGCGGTATAGAGCGCACGTCTACATGTTGGGGTAGAGCTCCGTCGCCCGACGTTTTGCTGCCAGGGCCCCAGCGGGGCCCCGGCCTGAGGCACCTCGAGGGAGAGAGCCAAGCGCGCCCAGAACGCAAGTCCCTGCCTCTCCGCGTTGGGGCAGGGCTCGGTTGTCTCGCGTTCTGCTGCCAGGGCCCCAACCCGAAGCGCGCCAAGGGGGGGGCGCCAGGTCACCGGGGGCACTGCGGGGAGGAGGGGGGGGTGGTCGAGTTGCCAGTGGGCCCCCCGAGCGCCGCGAGCCCCGGTCTCGGGGTTGCTGCTGGCGCGAGGTGGGGGAACCGTGCAGCTGCTCGAAGGGCAGCGTTGGCGGGGCTCGACATCCTCGAGGGGCGGTGCGTTAGACAGGGCAGGGAAAGGGGGGGCAGCTCTGTAAGCACCTCAAGGCCCTGCCCCCGAGCCAGGGGCATCCGCGCGACCGCCCCATGCGGTGGAACAGCAGACAGCGACGCGACGTGGGCTCGGCGACGGGCGCGGACGACGACTCTCGCCAAAATATTTGTCTCTACTACGGACGACGCGCTCGCGCTGTTGATCTACGTGATGTGGGCAGCGGAGACCTGGTCGCGATGGCCGACGGGAGTCGTGTCGGTGCGCATCATGCTGCCGGGCAAGCCTACAGGGGGCTTCAGGCCAACCGCCCTCCTGCCCGCCCTCTACGGGCTCTACGCGTGGTGCGAGTCGTGCACGCTAGGAGGTGGGCGGCAGCGCACGCACGCCCGTTCTTCGCGCTCGGCCAAGGCCAGCCCTCCGTGGTTGTCGCGGCTCGCATCATGGTGCACGCGGAGGCGGTGGACAAGCGGGGAGGCGACGACATCGCCAATGCGGTCATCGCCATCAGCAAGTGTTTTGACAGGGTACACTGGGTGAAGATCATGATGGCAGCGGGATGCACGGGCTCCCAGTGGTCATTCTGAGGATGGCCATGGGCATGTACTATGCGCCCAGACGGGTACGATGGCGCAGTGTCTACTCCTACGCGGTCAAGATGGAGCGTGGCGTCCTCCCAGGGTGCCTGGCAGCGGTGTACTTGCTGCAGCTGGTGATGTTCACGCCGTTCGATGTGTTTGTGGCCTCCACCTCCCGCGTGCGCAGGTCCATTGACGCCTGCGCGGACGACGTCACGGCGCAGGTGATTGGGCACACCAGCACAGTCGTAGCCACGACGGCCGCTTTGCTCAACGGGCTCGGCGTAGTGCTCCAAGCGCTCAAGCGACCCATAGCTAAGGGCAAAGCGAAGGTGCTCAGCTCCGGCAGCGAGGTGGCCAGGAAGGTGGCGGGGCAAACGCAGCCCCATGGCTTTCGAGCTGTTGCGTCTTTGAGCGACCTGGGCATGGAGACGCGCGCGGGCCAGCCCATCTCCTTCTCCAGCGTGCGCGCGAGGATCCGCAAGGTCTAGGGGCGTGTCCCTCGTTTCCGCAGTACGCGGGCAAACCTAACGATAGCGCGCAGGGTAGGGGCGTCAAGCTTGGGGCCCGCCGTGCAGCGCGGCTTGCAGGTGGTGGGCGCGCCCCCGTCCACGATGGCAACCGCGGCAAGGCTCGCGAGGGCTGGCCAGAAAAAAAGGCGCCCACCGATGCATCGACGCGGCTTGCGTCTCAGCTCGAGCAGACGCCGCGCTGGCCCCCCGAATGCATCGCCGCGGTCGAGCCCATCGGCGCGCGGGCCCAGCTCGTCATGGGCGGTCGCGTCAGTCACGAGATCCTGGTCAAGGCTTGGGAGGGGCAGGAACGCCTCATGAGGGGGGCCAAGAAACCGTGGAAGCTCACTGCTGGCCCTGCCATCGTAGTGAGTACGTGTCTCAAGAAGCCCAACTGCAGGTACTCCGGCTTCGCGACGTGGGCCACGGGGACGGGCGTCGAGCTGGACCTCGCATCGCCCGCGCCCAACTGGATTCGCAAGGTGGCGAGAAGGGCCTTCGGAAACGTGAAGTGGGAAGAGTGCTCGAGGCGAGCAGAGGTGGCGCCAGAGACGGCGGCGCCGTCGCGCGACCCCCGCGGCTGCTGGCTCGAGCCGTTGCGCATGATGCTCAACGCTCCGCGGGCGGCCAAGCGCTGGCCGTTGAGCTTGCGAGCGGCAGGCGCCCTGCGCTCTACCGTCATCGGCCGCCAGCGGTCGCAGCGGCGCTTGGCCATGCGCGATTTCTCGAACATGGACGAGCGCCGGGTCTGCGGCGAAGGCTGGGGTGGCATGCCCCACCAGCGCTTCTGGCTGCGGCGCCCCAGCAAGCGCTACATGCGCGAGGTGGCGGTCGAGGCCGACACCGTCGAGAAGGCTGGGGGGGGGGGGGGGGCGACTCCAACGACCTCTTCTTTACTCATGCGCTCGTGCCTAGAGCGCGCTTGCCCCAGGTGCCGCCGCCCAGCGCGCACGAGGACTTGCGTTGCGACAGGTGAGAGAACGGCCTTGTCATCACGGGCGCTGCGTTCACGGACGGGTCGGGGCGCTCGCCGATAGGATGGCCAGAGGCGAATCGGGCAGGATGGGGCATTGCAGTTATGGGGCGACATCGACGCAAAGGTCTGGTCTGCGGGCCGATCCCATGTTTCGGGCAGTCAGTGCCTCGAGCTGAGCTGCGCGCCATCGCCCAGGTGCTAAGACACGCCATTCTGCGCGTGGCCAGCGCGACGGATTGTCTCAACGTGGTGGAGGCCATGCACAAGGGCCCAGCGTGGTGCTTGCATGTACGCCGCGACCACCTCGACCTATGGAAGCAGTTCTGGCATCTGGTGCAGGACCCAGGTGAGATCCGGAGGGCCTGGGCATCTAGTGGGTCAAGGCGCACCAGTCGGAGCTGAGCATGACGGATCGACCGGGCAAAGTGGGCAACGAGTGGGCGGACATCGCGGCCAAACGGGGGCGCCGATATCATGATATCCCTGAAGATGCGATCGCAAAGCGCGCCGAGTTGTTTCAGAAGTTCCGCCAGGTGGCGGCGTGGACCGACAACTCCCAGTCGATGCAGGACAAGGCGGCCTCCGAGAGGATCGATACTGTCGGCCGCAAGCCGAGGCGCGGCGGCAGCGGCGTTCGCCCCAAGATAGTGCATGAAAGAGCGAACCCGTCCTGAGATAGCGCTCGGCGCTGTACCGCGCGCCCCATATCGCGTGCAAACTAGGCTGGAAGTGCGCCAGATGCCATAGGTTTGCCAGGTCCTTGGCGGGAAGGAAGCGGATGGGTGCCGAGCCGCGCTGCGCGCAGCCGCGCAGTACCGACCCCCCCCGCAGATTCTCGGTTTGACGCCCCAGGACCTGGCCCCAAAAGGGCCCTCGGGAGAGCCTCGGGGAACGTCGAGAGCAATGCCGTCCGCAGGAGAGTCACTGGCAAGAGTGCTCCACAGGGCCCCGCTCCCCCCTGCTGGCCCCCCTCCTCCTTCCCCCAGTGCGGCTCTCGAGAGCAGCGGCCCTCAGCAGGGCGCGCCGCTTGACCAGGCCACTGTGGCCAGGACCCGGGCACGCCTGGCCTCGACCCCGCCCCCCCTGCCGTCCTCGGTGGGCCCCCTCCCGCGCCCCCCGCCCCCGGGCGCCCTCGCCCGACCCGTCGGCGGAATTCGCGTACAGGGTGCGTCTGCGTGTCTCCGCCCCCGTCGTGGAGCCCCCCCTGGGCCCGCGGAGGCCCTCCGGACCGCGGTGGAGGTTGGCTCGAAGAAGCGCCGTCGGAGCCCCCCCTCTCGGCAGGTGCCGCGCTGTCCCTCCCGGGGAGCCGCTGCCACCTGAGGGGCCCGTCCCGCCCGCGAGTGCTCGCGGCCACCGACTGTACATTGCCAGTGATATCGTCGGTTGTGCTCTTTGTGGTGCGTAGTCAGCTCGCGGGGACAGGTCGCAGCTGTATAATTACTGCCACCCGACCTGTTGGTTGACAGCCCCCAGCGCAAATGGCGCAATGATAATTTCATGTCAGGGGTCCACCCCATAGGGGCCAAGGGTGGACCCCCCATTCCCGTACTTAGAGACCTCGTGGCCACTCATGATGAGGCCGCTTGTTGGCTAGCCCTCATATCGTTAAATTAGTTTCGGTGTGCACTCGGTCGGCTTAGTCTCGTGTGCTCGTGGGCCGAGTCTGGCCTCGAGTGTTGCGTCGGTGATGTCGCAACCCCGTTGCTCGATTGCGCTAGTTGTCTCGGCGTTGGCGTTGTCTTGTGTTAGGTGATAGATTGTGCCACTACGCTGTCCCCATCTCTCATTTATTTCCCGCGCCCGAACTCGGCGCGTCTTCCAATGTGCTCTCTCTCCCTCTCCTCCCCCCTCCTCCTCCCCCTCCTCCTCCCCCTCCTCTTCCCCCCCCTCCTCCCCCCCCTCCTCCTCCTCCTGATCCTCCGCCTCCTCCTCCTCCTCTTTCGCCTCCTCCTCCTCCCCCTCTTCCTCCTCCCCCTCCTCTCCCTCCGAGGCGTCAGGACCATGGGCCCAAGTATTTCGGCGCCCGTTAAGTCCCGACCCCAGCGCCACAGGCTGGCGCGACGCCATGGGGGCGCCCTGGCTGGCCAAGCTCATCAGCGGCGGCACGTTGCTCACCTTCTTGAAGCCCCACGGCCCCTCGACCTGGCACACCCTGGTGGAGGCCGACCTGGGCGAGATCAACATCCAGCCGAAGGAGCAGGCCAAGGCCAAGGGCGCTAAGGCCATCTTCCCGATGCGAGGCAACTTCGAGGACAAGCAGAAGGAGTCCGAGAGCATCGCCAAACCGATCCCTGTGAAGGATGGCGCCAATCAGATCGACAAGGCGGTGCAGACCAGCTCCGAGGACATGCAGAAGGAGCCCGAGAGCATCGTCAACGCGATCGTGATGAAGGCCGATGGCAAGGAACCGATCCTGATGAAGGGTGGTGGCAGCCAGATTGACAAGGTGGTGCAGACCAGCTCCGTGGACAAGCAGATGGAGTTAGAGGGCATCGTCAAACCGATCGTGACGAAGGACGGGGGCAAGGAGATCGAGACGGCGGTGCAGGCCAGCTCCGAGGACCAGCAGAAGGAGTTTGAGAGCATCGTCAACCCGATCATGATGAAGACCGAGACGGCGATGCAGGCCAACTCCGTGGACAAGCAGATAGAGTTCGAGGGCGTCGTCAAACCGATCGTGACGAAGGACGGGGGCAAGGAGATCGAGACGGCGGCGCAGGCCAGCTCCGAGGACCACCAGAAGGAGTTCGAGAGCATCGTCAACCCGATCATGATGAAGATCGAGACGGCGACGCGGGTCAGCTCCGTGGACAAGCAGAAGGAGCTTGAGAGCATCGTCAACCCGACCCTGATGAAGGTGGGCGTGCAGTCCCACGTGCGCCCTCTTGCCCAAGACATGGACCGAGGTGTCGGAGTCGTCCTCGCGCGGCGTCGCGAAGCAGCTGTATTCCAGAACTGCGGCGCCCATCGTGAGGCACGCGCTGGAGTAGCCCCTACGCTACCGGCGCAAGGTCTGCCGAAGTTGCGGGAGAGGGGCACGTTGGCATTGCTGCGGCATTGCTGAACCCTCTTCGGTTGCGGAGGAGTCGGACGTATGACTGCGCGTAGTAGTGGCCAGGGAGTAGTCGCGGCCTTCTCGGACTTCGCGGGCTGAGTAGCCACCGCGATCCGCGGCAGATCTGTTGCAGCCAGCTTTGCCGCTCTCCGTCTTTCCTCGCTCTCTCCGCCTGTCCTGTTCCCCCTCTCAGGTCGCTGACCTGTAGGAAATCCTGGAACATCCTCCTCCTCCTCCGCCTCCTCCTCCCCCTCCTCCTCTCCCTCCTCCTCCTCCTCCTCCTCCGCCTCCTCCGCCTCCTCCGCCCCCTCCTCCTCCTCCTCCTCCCACTCCTCCTTCCCCCTGTCTTGCCAATGGTAGTGGTTGTGGGCAATTGGCGCCAGGAGGGAGACGCCGCGCGGGTTTTTTTCGGCCCTCGGGGGCCACCGCGGGCCGCGCCCCGAGTTTTTTTTTGTTCGGGGGGAGGGCCTCGAGGGGCGGGCGCCCGCGGCCGCGCTCGCGCGCACCTACTGGCGGAGCACGGGCACAGGTCGCACACACACATATATATATGTATATGGAGATAGACGTAACTATACGTGTATATACATGTATGTATATATTGCAGCAATCACTGATGTCTCTTTGCGGCATGAGTCGTGGCCAGGTCCCTCCGATCCATCGCCCAATGTGCTCAAGTTTTTTCTGCTGAAAAGGTCAGCAGTATATGGTCGAGTGGGCCCTCTCCTATTCATCGACCGCCCACTTCATATATATACGCTCACCAGAGACGCCATCGCACCGACCAGGTGCGAGTGCACCTGTTCTGCTCCGCCCGCCGCGGCGGAGGTCTGCGAGCCCGTGTTCGAGATCGTCAAGGAGGCGGTGGGGCGCCCACTGGTGTGCCCAGCGGCTCCCGCCTGTACCTGTGCTGCAGCACCGCCTTGTCCTGAGTGCCCGGGCACGTCGACACCCCTTGCGGGCTCGCCGAACGGCGGGCGGACGGTGCCTCTGGAGTTCGCCGTGAGCTTTAGCTTGCTGTGTTTGCTCCTCGGCTACGTGTTTGGGAGGCGCGGAGGGCGTCGCCGAGTGGTGCGGTCGTCCACGTCTGCCGCCTTGCAGGGACCAGCGTCTCGTGAGGAGGTGGAGGCATGGCGACGATCGATCGGACTCTAGACGCAGACAAGATGCTGGCTCTCGTCTGCTACGACGACGACGCTGCTGGGCTGCTCTACCACCACCGTGTCTTGTTCACCAGGGTGGCTGCTGGTCGGTGGATCAGAGGGCCCCCAAACGGAGATGACTATGAGGGGGACTTCAATGGGGTTGATGTGCGGCCGCTGGCTCCGAGCGTGTCCTTCCAGGTCGACCCGGGTGCGACGATGCGCGCGTTTCGAGGGCCGCTGCGAACCCCTGCTCGGATCGCCACCATGCACGAGCAGGCGCGCGAGATCACTGAGGTGCTGGGGGCTGCTCCTGCACCAGGGGCGAAGGGCGTGGCAGGCCCCAGCGGGCGCGTGGCGGACCCCTCGTCGGCCGAGTTCGATCAGGTCGTCACTGCCGCGAGGCTCGCTGACTCCACCGATGATCGCGATGATGGTGTCAGAGTTCAGCGGTTGGCTCTCGTCGACGGCAACGCCCAGCTGGTCGAGCTTGTGAAGGACTCAGACCACGATGCGAGGCTTGCTCGGAAGCGGGGTCGACTGCCTGGCGGTGCTTCGGGCGACCTACGGCTGCTTGGTCATTTCCTGGATTCTGCGCCAAGGCAAGTGCCGCCGCTGTCGGAGGCGATGGAGCTTGCGACGCCCAAGGCTTTCGCAGGATGGCCTCATCCTGGGCCAAAGGCTATCCAGGAGTTTCTCGAGTCGGAACTTGGGAACGGCGGTGACCTTCAGGTGTGGCTCGACGCTCTCATGCATAAGTCTGGGGTCAGCGAGAACTCGTTCGTGGCACGTGTGCTTCGGGACCTAGTCCAGATCGCGAGGCTCGAGATCGGCTGCGACCAGATCGCGTCGACCAACCTCGCCTGCACCGAGCAGGCGGTGCTCAGGTTCCACGTGATCCAGCAGGTTCAACGTGATCCCAGCTTTGCAGGCCTGGACATCGGCACCATCGGGTCTTACGACCAGATCGGCAGGGCTCACTTGCACGGCTACGACACTTGGCTCGGCAGCGAGCAGAAGGAGGAGGCCAAGACGATGGAGGTCCAACGGAAGTGGCGTGAGGTGCTGGCCGCCGAGCGCCGTTGCTCTGACAATCGAGATGGGCCTCCCGACCTGAAGTCCGAGGCGAAGGCAGAGGCCCCTCCTGCTGGCCAGCAGGAGGGGCAGACATCATGACCGCCTCGGCGCCGGAGGGCAAGGATGAGACACTTCCCCGCCGAGCCCCCCGAGTACTAAGTGGGGAGTTTTTGGCCAGAGGAGGCGGGCCCAAGCATGGTGATCCGTTCCCGCTGCCAGTGCCTTCCGTTGCTGGACGTGGTGCTCGTGGGCCCCCTCCCCACCGTGAAGCGCTTGGGTTAACTGTTCGAAGAAGCAGGCAGCTCTGGATTGCCGAAGCGGTGCGCAGCCTCAACACTTTGGCTGCCTCTACCGCCTCTTCGATTCGTTCAGGAGGTGCCTGGTTTGGGACTTCGTTACCGCCGCGCCTCTCCTTCACCCAGGCTGCTGTGATGAATCGTGTTCGAGACGTCGTTGGTAGTTATGGGCCGATTCCGGCTGGGATGACTGCTCGGGAAGCTTTCTGGGGGCTTCTCAAGGCAAATGACCTGCACTGCGTTGGGGAGAAGAACCTCGCCCCGTATCAGCCCGATCTTCTGAAGATCGCGAAGGGCAAGACGGTGCCAAAGCCCGCCGTCGATTTGCTGCCGCCCGAGGAGGCGGCCTTCTTGATTGATCCGGATAGGTACCTCGTTCGCTCGCAACCCGAGATCGATGCCTGGAATGAGGAGCACCCGACTTTCAGGCCTTACTGGGACCCCCACTTGCGACAGGATCGGTCGGCGCGGCTCGACCTCTACCGTAAGCTCTATGACAAGGGACTCCTGGGGTTCAGAACTCGTATCAAGGCGAAGGTGGGGATATTCTTTGTGTGGAAGTCGTCTCGTCGTGGGATCAAGCTTATCGTTGACGCCCGGATGCCGAACGGCCACCGCCGCTTGCCGCCGAAGACTAGACTAGGGGGAGCTGGCGCCCTCTCGCAGCTCGACGGTTGGCTCGACCAGGATGAGCTCGCCAGCTTGGCGCAGGGGTGTGGCCCGATTGCCGAGGTCCCGAACCTCTCCGTCTGTGTTGGTGACGTGGAGGACGCCTTCTATCAGTTCTCGGTCGAGTCGATGGCCGAGTGGTTCGGCCTAGACGACCCCGTCCGATGCTCCGAGTTCGGCTTCTCGCAGATCTTCGACAACGACCTCGAGAGGCTTCGCCCTGCCCGGTCCACGGAGAAATGACACAAGGCTGGTCCTGGGCCCTGCACTTCTGCACCACCTCGGTGAAGCACTTCACCTCCGTGGCTATCGGGGGGAAGCATCGGCTGGTGCAAGAAGGGCTCCCCGCTCCTGATCTTCGATCTGGTCCCGTCTCGAGTGTCTATGTGGATAACCTTGCCACAGTCGGTCTCTCGTGCTCCGAGGTTTCGTCAGATTATGCTGCGATCAAGAGGGAGCTTGAGAGCGTGGGGTTCACGTTGCACGAGGAGGGCGGGGACGCCCTGCTGGTCGAGAAGGTGGGCATCGTGATAGACAAGAGCAGGTGCAGCATTCGTCACAAGCCTGAGAGGGCGTGGCGGTTGTATCTTGGGATTAAGTATCTTCTGAAGTTGCGTCGGGTGACTGGAGAGGCAGTTCGTGTTTTGCTGGGTCACTGCATCCACTACCTTGTCCTCCTGAGGCCGGCGATGTCTGTCTTTGCCCACGCCTATCGGTTTGTGAACGACAGCCTAGGACGTACGTGTGAGTTACCTGGCCAGGTGAAGCGTGAGTTCCGCGTGATGGCGGGGCTCGTTTTCTCGGCCGAGGCACGGCTGTCCGTTCCGAGTTCGGATCGAGCCTACTGTGGAGACGCGTCAGGGAAGGGGTACGCCGTCATGGACACCCCCATGGGCCCCGCGGAGTTCCGAAAGCTTACTCGGTGGAAGGAGCGTCGGCGGTTCGTGGAGGTAGAGGGGGATCGCGGGGACACCATGAGGACCTCTGGGAACCTGCCGCCCCCGAACCCTGGCTGGTCTGCTGATCTTGAGGTGCCTGACACATCATATTCACGGTGGCTTCTGGAGTCTGCTGGGATGCCCAACCCGTCTTCGGGCGTTCTGGAGTCGGGTGGTTTTCGTTCTGGAATATGTAAACTACGTGGTAAGGAGCGTAGACAGCTAGAGCAGAAGGAGATAGTTGGCATGGTCCCGATCCTTCCCGAGGACGTTGTCGAGCCTGGTCGCTGGCGTGCCTTATTCGAGGGGAGGTGGAAGAGGGACGAGGCCATCCATATGAAGGAGGGGAGGGTGATTCTAATGGCGCTCCGCAGAGAGTCGTATACTCGTCCAGGTCATGGACGACGACTCCTTGTGCTGTCAGATAACCTCTCCTCACTGTGCTGTCTCGAGAAAGGCCGAGCTAAAGACTTCGGCCTGCTTGCCTTGGCCCGCAGGTGTGCCGCCTACTCGATTGGGCGCGGCATCGACCTGAGGCTCCGATACATCGAATCCGAACGAAATCCCGCAGACAAGGGATCGAGACGTTTCGACGACGAAACGCATCATGTTGCCACAACCTCTCGGGGCCCTCCGCGCTGCTCGGCCTCGTCAGCTCTCTCTCGTCGGCTTCGGGGCGACAGGCCCGATGCCCGACGCCCTCTCCGACCGCGGGGAGCAATGCCACTTGCAGGAGATTCACTGGGTCTGAAAATGAATACCTCTCGGCCTGCATCGTCTCGCCAGCCAGTCAGGGAGGTGAGAGCTCAGCAGTCTTTGTCTCGTCCGCCGCCTTCGCCGCGTTCTTCGAGACGCTTCGCGCCAGCCTTCCTGGAGCTCTACTCTGGCTGTGGGGCTCTGACTTCTGGGATGGCCGAGGTTGGCCTCAGGGTGTCCGTGCCGTTCGATGTCGCCGAGGGTCCGGAGTTCAATCTCGAGAAGCGGGGGGTCCAGGACGTCGTGATCAGGTGGCTCAACGAGGGCCGCATCTGGCACTTACATCTTGGGACGCCGTGTACCCCGTGGCGAGGAAGTCTCGACCTGCAAAATCGTCGGTGCGGGTGTCTCGGGAGCACGTTCGGTTCACTGCAAGGGTGATCAAGCTCTGCACGGATCTGAAGGTACACTTCTCCCTCGAGAACCCCAAGACCTCGTCCCTGTTTAGGCAGCCCGAGATCCTGAAGGCTTTGAAATACGCGGACGCGTTCTTTGTCGAGTATGACTGTTGTCGATGCAGTTGTTCATATAAGAAGCCGACCCTACTAGCGACTAATTGCGATTCCTTGAATAGCCTGAGTCTGAGAGATCCTCCAGGGGAAAGTACGACTATCGGCTCAAGACGGACATCATCGTTGGAAGTGGAAGACCTGTCTTGCAGCCTCGTACTCCCCCCAGTTGCGCCGAGCGTGGGCGCGGGCCGCTCGCTGCGCCGCCCCGAGGGGAGCAGAGCGCGCTCCTGGCGAGGCCCGGCTGTCGGATGCCTGGCAAGAGGAGCTGCGTCAAGACGCCGGGGCCGGTCTCCAACGGCCGCGGCTCGAGCTCAGGCACCTCCCGCGTCGCTGGACCTCGCCCTGGGCCGGGGCGACAGGCGCCTGGGGCACGGGTCCAACTTGCCGCTGCGCGTGTTCAACGTCTCGGAGCGGAAGGAGGACCAGGGTTCCTGAGGGCGCGCGCGATCCGGTCGGCAGGGGCCCGCCAGGCCTACACGGACGCTAACAACAAGTTCGTCGCCTTCGCCCGCCGCAGCGGTCTGCCGTTGGACACCGCTGATCATGTCGACGAGGCGCTGGAGAGGTTCATGGAGCTGCTGGTCCTGAGCAGGAGCCGCAGTCAGTAGCCCGCTCCGCCCGGTATGGCTTTGCGTGGTGCCATCCTGAGATGCCTCACAAAGATCGGAGGCTCTACATCAGGAGCCGTGCTGCGCTCGCTGGATGGCGGAAGCTTGAGCCGGGTGGGGCGCGCGATCCAGCTCCTCTCGAGATCGCGTGGTGGATCGCTGACGACATGCTCCAGCATGGTCTGGCGCTTGCCGCCTTTTTAGTCGTCCTGTGCTTTGACTGTTATTTGCGGCCTGGCGCAGGATGCACCCTGCGCCGTTCTAACGTCACGCCACCGGCTGCTGCAGTTCACGAGGTTTATGATCGCTGGTGCCTCCGACTGTCCCCAGCCGAATCAGGCCAACCCTCGAAGACCGGCGCCTACGATGACAGCATCGTGGTCGGCGAGGTCGCTGGACGGGAATGGATCGCTCGAGCTTTGGCGATCATCTTCCCTCACGCCCAGTGTGATCATTTCATCTTCCCTTTCGGACTTCGAGAGTTCGAGAAATGTTTCAAGGATTCGGTTGTGCGGCTCGGCATCTCGCATCTCCGTCTGTCCCCCCACTGCCTACGCCACGGTGGTCCTTCGACGGATGTTTACACCAAGGCTTACACCCTTGAGGATGTGCGTCGCCGAGGAAAATGGGCCGACCATCGCAGTGTGTCTAGATACGAGAAACACGCCCGTTTGCACGCCGTGTTTCAGAAGTTGCAGCCAGGCGATCAGCGCCTTGCCTCGACCGCCGCTGTCACTCTGTCCAGTCGCCTGCTCGCGGCCCTCCGTCAACCAGCCCTCCGGTCGAATGCAAGGTATATTGCAACTGTTACGTGAAGTGACTGTTTCGGTCGCGCCTGCAGCGATCGTGGCTCTGGCAAGCGCGCTCCGAGCTTGTGTTTTTCAGATCTAAGCGTGTGCTGGCCGCGCACGGTCCCGAGAAAAAAGAGAGGCTCTGGAGGTCCTTCAGGCTCTCGGGTAGTCTCAGACTGTGGGTCAGTATGTAGCCTCCTTGGCCACGCAGTTTAGTGAATGTAAAGATTGCAGCAATCACTGATGTCCCTTTGCGGCATGAGTCGTGGCCAGGTCCCTCCGATCCATCGCCCAATGTGCTCAAGTTTTTTCTGCTCCTCCTGCGCCCCCTCCACCTCCCTCCTGCTGTGTCCCACTGAACCCAGCTTACCTTCACTTACTTGGCAACTGTTACGTGAAGTGACTGTTTCGGTCGCGCCCGCAGCGATCGTGGCTCTGGCAAGCGCACTCCGAGCATGTGTTTTTCAGATCTAAGCGTGTGCTGGCCGCGCACGGTCCCGAGAAAAAAGAGAGGCTCTGGAGGTCCTTCAGGCTCTCGGGTAGTCTCAGACTGTGGGTCAGTATGTAGCCTCCTTGGCCACGCAGTTTAGTGAATGTATACATATATATATATATATATATATATATTGTATATATATATATATATCACAGACACACCCATAGTGAATGGCACATAAACATACACATGCACATATACTTAGACACACACACTCTCTCACACACGCACCTACATGTTTACACAGTGAGTCATACATATACGCATTCACATTTGCTTCCCAAGGGCTTCGCCCTCTACCGCCGGCATCTTATTACGAGTGCGGGCGGTTGCGCCGGGGTCTCCTTGAGGCCTCTTGGGGATATCCTTGGGGCCTCTTGAGAGCCTCTTGGGGGTCTCCTTGGGGCCTGTTGGAAACGATATTTTGGGTCGCTTGGGGTTTCTTTGGGGCCTCTTGGGTGGCCTCTTGGGGGGTTTCTTGGGGGGCCTCTTGGGACCTACTTGGGGCCTGCTGGGGTCCTCTCGGGGTGGAAAGGTCGAGTTTTCGGTTCGTGGATTCCCTCTTGGGCCTCTCCTAGGTTTGGGTGCCCTTTTGGGCCATCTGGGGCGCCTCTTGGACTGATTTGGGGCCCTCTTCGGCCGTTTTGGGGCCGTCTTGGGAGCCTCTGGGGCGATCATGGGGGCTTCCAGGGCCAACGTGGGGCGATATTGGGAACCTCTTGGTCCGCCTCGGAGCGTCGGAAAGCCGAAAAGGCGAGAAGGCCAAAAACCGACAAAAACGTTTGGAAAGTCGTTGATTGTTGCTTCGTGGGGCCCTCTTGGGAGGCCTCCTGGAGGCCTCTTGGGCCGTCTTGGGAGCATCTTGTGCCGTCTTGGAGCCATGGTGGGACATCATTGGGCCATCTTGGGCTGTCTTGGCCTCCTGAGGCTCTCTTCGGAGCCTCTTCGGGCAATCCTGGATGCCTCTCGGGCCGTTCTGGCCGCGCGGTGGCGTCACCATGAGAATCCTAGGGTGGCCCGGAGCAGCCAGGATTTGAGGCGCCCCCCCCCCCCCCCGTTGGCTGTTTGGTGGCGTGGCGGGGGGCCCCCTAGCAGACAGTGGACAGGAGGCGGGAAACAGGACTGGAGAGACCAAAAGGCCAAACCAACAAAATGACAACTCTCAGAGCGTGAATTACCTACCCCGCTTTCGCTTCCAGGCAAAACCAAGTCATACCACGCACCTCCTCGTCAAGCGGCCTGACCAGCACAGGCCTTGATAATGCTATGTCTGGTGGTCTCCACGGAAACAGGCCGTACAGATAGATCCGGGCCTAGAGTTAGGCAGGAACGTTTTGTCCGTCGTGCACGGGGGTGGGACGACCCCGCAAGCGCTGTACGACGACTCCCAGGAAGCCCCGTGGGGGAATGCAGATCTTTGTCAAAACGCTGACGGGGAAGACCATCGTACTCAACGTGGCGGCCAACTACACGATCGAGGACGTTAAAGCGAACATCCAGGACTCCCAGGACATCTCCCCTGTCCAGCAACGCCTGATTTACGGCAGCGCGGGGTCCCACAATAGCTGGGACCGGGTATTAACTTGTTTTTGCAAATACGTCCTGGCCCCGGGCATTTCCGCTGTGCTCCATCATGGTCCCTGGATCATCGAGCTTTGCGGGTCCCTCGGTGACACTCCTTCATGAGCCAGTCCCTTGCGTTGGAGTTGCAGTGGCGGGTGGTTGCGATGCCAGGCGCGGGAGCTTGCAGGTGCGGAGACCTATAAAGCCAACTTATGCCATTGTCTCCCCTCGACCCCTGGCTAGGGGTCTTTGATTCCCTACGTTCCACCAGCGGGCCGTCCTCTTGATGACGCCAGATAGGCGGATTGAATGGCGGGGTGCTGGTTGTGAGAGGGCTGCCGTGAGACGGCGGGCTGGCCTACGGATACCCCACTGCCGCAGGTGACTACCGATGGCTGTGTTCATCCACTCGCAAGAATTCGTTTGAATTCGTTCGGGTCGCAGTCGTACTTTTTGCACAGCCGATGCTCGGTCACGGGCTTTCAAGGCAGCGTATACAACATCCAGACCGTCGGGGAGGCGGGCGGCCATAAGCGTCGCGGGAGCACCTGTCTACAAATACCTCCTGGCCGTGGCTCGCTTGCCTCGCTCCACCTTGTGCCCTGGCGCAACGATCATTCGGCATTCCACGGCAGCTGCCGTTCGGGCTAACCATCCGGACTCTCAGCCTAATTAGTTGCATCTGGGTCCAGGTCGACCCCCCGACATTTCAGGGCCAAAGTGTCGATCAGCTCCTGCCCCCGGTTGTTCAGGGCCACAGTCAGGCTGCGGTGGGCCCCGGTGTTTGCATGCGGTTCGCAGTCGCTGTCCATAAGAGGCAGTCGCCGACGCTCGGTAGCGGGCTTTCAAGGCAGCGTATACAACATCCAGACGCACGCCACGATGCACCTGGTGCTCCGCCTCCGCGGTGGTGGACCAGAAACTCTGCTCACGGGATTGCACTCTTGCCAGCACAGTGCTTGCCCACTCTTCGGAACGGTGGCACCAGGCGCGGGCCGATGCCCATACTGCCACCAGGAACGGCAACTTCAGGCCCCAGTGCCACCAACGCCAGGACATGAGGAGGACACTGCGTGCCCGCGAGGGGCTGCGACGCCAGCGTCCCATGCGTCACCCCCCGGACTCCCTGCCCTGACTCCCCAAGCCGTGCAGGTACACCGTTTCCCCGACGCACCCGTTGCGCAACCAGAGGTTCCGGACAAGGAGGCAGGCATGGACGAGCTGCTCAGCGACTTGATCGATCAAGAGGTCTTGGCGCACGGAGACTACAGCGGACGCTCGCGAGCCTTCAGACAACCGACCCACGATCGCCTTGGACGCCCTGCGCACATGGCCATCTCTTATCCCAGTCCTCCGGTCACTCGCCTACGACCCCACTTCCACGGATCCATGGGCTTCGGTGGGTATCCCAAAGTACGAAGGCCCGCCCCCCACGACGGAAATGATCATGCGACGAGTGGCACTGGCCCATACCCTGACGTCGGTGTGCCAACACCCAGGGCGCCGACTCCAGGAATCAGTGGGACCTTGGGTGGAGCTCTCTATGGGGCCACGGAACGTGTGAGCGGTGTGCCGAAGCGAGGGTGACTCCAACATGCGGGCTGCGCCACTTGCACCCTGGATGGAGCTTGGGGCCACGGCACGTGTGAGGGGTGTGCCGAATCTGATGGCGATGATGGGGATATTGATGGCGATGATGATGATGATGATGATGATGATGATGATGATGATGATGATGGCCATGACGGTGATAATGTCGGCCATGATGATTGTGCTGTTTCTGATGATGATGTTGATGATGTTGCTGATGATGAGTATGATGACGGTTATGATGCGGATGATGCTGAGTCTCATAATGATGATGACGATGCTGATGCTGATTATGATGATGATGTTGATGATGTTGATGAGGAAGAGGATGAGGATGCTGATGCTGATGATGACGATTCTGACGATGAAGATGATGAGCATGATCCTGATGAGGATGTTGATGCCGGTGATGATGATGGCGATGAGGGTGAGTGATAACGAAGATGATTTCGATGATGTTAATCACGATCATGATGATTATGATGATGCTGTTGATGATGATACTACTGATGATGATGTTGATGATGATGAGGGTGATGATGATGAGGGTTATGATGATG